ACTGCTCTCACCTTTCCTCTCCAGTAGGACAACCTCGGTTACTGCCCCCTCGCCGGCGGCGTTGTATGCTGAGAGATAGACCCTCCTGGTCCCCATGGGTGCTGAGAAGTTGCACTGGGTGTGGGTGGTGTTGCAGACCATGGGGGGGTCCCTGCCCCTCCTCCTGGGGCTCAGGGTGACGTGGTACCCCAGCACTTGCCCGTTCGCCTCCTGCCGCCGTGGAGCCTGGGCACAGGAAGGGAGGCTGGGTCCCCGCAGGGATGCTCGGTGCCCATGGGGATGCTCGGTCCCCACGGTGATGCCCCGTTGCACCCTGCTCACCTTCCAGCAGAGCTGCACCTCCAGCCCCTTGCCCACCCTGTCCGGCCGAGTGCTCCACCACGCATCCAGCTTCCCTGTGGGGGCTGCGACAGGAGGAGGACGGGCAGGGAGCTGAGCGGGGTGAGCGCGGCTCTGCCACCGTGGCTGCTGCCTGGCCAGGCAGAGGGCACCCCCAGTGACCCGCACCCACCTTTCTCATGGGTGGTGTAATTCCTGCCCATGCTCCACTCGCTCCAGTAGCCCCGCGCCAAGCTCCGCCGGCACCGCATCTGGAAGTGGTACTGTGTGCCGAAGAGGAAGCCGCAGCACTGCGCGGTGCCAGCGTGGCCGATGATGTTGGTGACCTGGTGGCAGCCAGAGAAAGAGCTGTGGTGGCTCCTGCCTTGAGCACAGACCAGCGGGTCTGGTCTCAGCACGGGTGCAGGGGCACCCTGTGATCCCCCTTCCATGCAGGCACCCCGCTGCTGCCACTGAAGGCAACCTGGCAGAGCCTGGAGCAGAGGGAGGGTCCTGGCTCTGGGTCACTCACCCGCCCTGGTCCCGCTGCCCCAGCAGCACTCACCAGAGCCCAGGCGGTGTCCTCGGGTGTGCGGTAGCGCAGCTCACACTGCAGCTCCATGTGCGCGTTGCTCCGCGCCACCTCCCAGCTCAGGGCGATGCAGTTGGTCTGGAAGGGGATGGACTGGATGCTCTGCAGGGCCGGGGGGTCCAGCTTGGCTGGAGGAAGAGCAGGGGAGAGAGCTGGAGAGCTGCCACGCTGGGACCATGGCCTTGCGTGTAGCTGTTGTTAATGGCACGAGCTACAGACTTGGTGCTGGCCTGCCCAAGGTGAGGGATGGGGAGAAACCACCCCACAATACTTAAGAGAATGGCTCATGGCAGGGGATGTGCCCCTGCCCAGGGCACGGGGTGATGCTGGGGAGCACAGCATTGCCACTGCTCTGCAGCCTTAATGCCTACACAGGAAAACCAGATCCTGTGGGACCCAGGTTCTGGTACAGAGCCAGGAAATCTGCACATTTGTGTCTGGCCGGGGGGCAAGAGGCCAGCACAGCCATGGGAGGGTTCAGCCGGTTCATGGGCAGCCCTTCGACAGGTCCAGAGCAGGGAGGACAAGTCGACCACCTGGGAAGGTTCCTTTTATGAATAGTTTATAGGAGCTGGATACATTATTAATAGACCTCCTGAATAAATGGGTAATCAATTGTTGGAGAGAGTTATCGAGTGCAGCAGGTCAAGTGGCGGCTCAGAACCCACCAGCACACGCTGCTCAGTCTGTGATGCAGCTTTGGCATCAATTCATCCCAGCGAGCCATTTATCATGGGAACCTGCCCATAAAAGATGACCTGAAAGCCTGACGTGCTTTAATGACACTCGGACACCCCTCTCTCGGTGCTGATGAGCTTCCCTGGCCCCTGACCTCTGCCGAGGCGGCTCTGGCTGTCACTCAC